AATAGTATTAGAAATCAAATTTTATAAATGTAAAACATTGAAAATCAACGTCATTAAATTTTCTTGATAAAAAGTTGAGACAGGGTTCAGTGGGTGTCTTTCTTATATTAATCTTTCACATAGTATTATACAGAAAGGCACCTATTAGTCCCTACTCATATGATCCCTGAGAGTTTATATTAGGTCTTTCTTATCCAGCAGATTAATAAACTAAATAGCTCAATTTATGACAGTATAAGACAAATTCTAATTATAATCAGTCAAATGTATCAGGAATTTCCAGAATCATACTTAATTAGCTGCTATTTAGAAATGATTTTACAGAATTATCTAACTTTGTATCTTCTTTCTCAGAGGCCTAATAAAAAGCCCTTTCTCATTAAGAGGTTCATTAATTTTAGCTTGAGCAGTCTGTCCTGTTTTTTAGTTTTCCTAGTTTATAAAATAATCCTTTATCATTATTGCATTTACACTTCTTGCTGTGTACTTTATAGATGTATGGTTTATAGTCTATCAATATTGACAAATATTGATGTTTACAAATTGGTTTGCTAGAAAACAGAAAGCATAGATGCTTATGTAAGGAAGCATCTAGTTTTTTTAGCACAAAATAAAATACTTCTTATTGGCTTGTAATAATCACAATGAACAAATAATCATGCAGTTTTTATAAACACTTGGAAAGAGATAAGTAAAGAAATCATAACAGAAATAAATTTAAAGCATAGAAAATTTTTGTGGTTTTATCAAATATAATTAAATTATATAATTAAATCTAATTTTCAATAGACAAATGGAGTTCTGATGTGGGAAAGGAAAAAAGAGAAAAGGGAAAAGAGGGAGGAAAAGCGGGAGGGAGAGAGAGAAAGAGAGAAAGGAATCAATCTTCTACAAATGATAGATTTCTGGCCTGATTAAAAAAATATGGCACAAAAAATTCTTTCAGATTTTAACAATGTTCTAAGAAAGCTTGAGATCACTTGATCTCAAATACTACATCACCATCAATAATAACGGATAAATAACTAGACAAGTGAGAATATTTTACTGCTGAGTTAAGGTACTGGTCAATGGGTCAGTGAACTTGAATTAGAGGCCTAAATTATGTAATTTATTAGCTCTCTATTTGCATAATGAGATAATAAAAGCACTTATTTTATGAGGTATCGTGAAAATTAAATGAGATAATACACAACTGCTAAGCATAATTTACAGCATTTAGAAAATGTATTTAAAATCTAATACTACGTCTTATTATGTCCATGGTAAGTAAAGCATTTTGTTCATATCTCATGTAGCTCTCATCATATCAGTTACTCAATTTAAAACTCTTTCTTGACTTCCCACTGTCTTTAGAAAACTCCAAACTTTTCAATGTAATTTAAAGGGGCCTCCAACAAACATCTCTCTTATTCCAAACCAAGCCCTGTGAGATTTCTGGGCTCAACTATACCACCACACTGTGTTTATCTCCAAGTCTTTTCATATGAAGCTCATTTTCCCTTTTCTACCTTCTTTCAAATTATAAACATCACTTCTTCTGAGAAGTCTTCCTTGACAAGTTGAATAGTTTAGATCACCCAACTTAATGTTCATGAAAACACCAAACAGAATGTGTCAAGCCTAAAATCAAAGTTAGCTTGCTGAGACTGACCTCTAGGGAGGATTAAAAAAGGGCCCAGGTCTGCTTACCTCTATAATAAATGCACTCACGGTTTAAGGCCAAAATTTTTTTTAAGGTTTACTTATTCATACCTACAAGAACTAGAGTGCAGGCTGGTAAGAGGATTCACCAGAGACAGAGTGGGGGAACAGAACAAGTGGATTGACTGAGATACACTGCTGAGGGGAGCAGCATGTGAAACAGGAGAGGTCTGCTGCACCATGTGGATCAGCAACCTGGCTGGGAATCGAACTTGTGATGCAGTGGCTGCAGACAGCTTCATAGTGCTGGCTGAGACTTAACCCCTTGTCTACAGGGACACCCCAAGGCCAGATTTTAACTATTAATTTTGGGCCAAATCTAGTCAGCTTCCAATCTTTATAAATAGTTATATTAGAATACAGTAATGAATTCATTTAGCATTATCTATAACTGCTTACATGCTAAAAGGGTAGAATTCTGTAGTTGTAACAGAGAACATATGGCCCAGTATGTATAAATTATTTGTTATCTAACTCTTTACAAAAAAATGTGCTGACCTAATTCAGTGACTTTAATTAGGTTTTGTTATTTAGGGCCAAAAGCATCCTAACTCATACAAAGGATATTTCCATTGATTGCTGCTGACACAGTCAACTGTTTACACTGTAATTACTTGCACATCTTACCTTCTATAAATGTTTATATGTTCACTTTCATAAAATTGTTCAGTAAGACTGGCCTACTAATAAATACATATTATCTAATACAGTATTTGAGAAACAGGTGGTATGTAAATATTGTTGACTACACATGTGAACAAATGAATGAATGAGCATGTGTGATCAATAACCTATAAATTTTTACCTCTGTTAGTGACACAATAAGTGCATAAAACACTTTCTCAGCTCCAAATTGTTTTAAAAGTCAGCTTTAGAAATAAACATTCACTTTTTTAAAAAAGATATAAATTATTTCTGGAGCAAATCTTATATTCATATACTAACTGACCCCTGAAAATCTTGAATTTAGATCCTAACGAAAAGGTAAGGGTCTGTGTCTTGTGCTCATGGGAGAAAAAGCACCCTGCACTATGGTTCACTAACCAGTGGAGGTGACTAAATCTGCCTACTCACAGCTTATTGGCATGAGTACCCAGGGCCTTTCAAAGGTACCCCCTGTTTTGACCCTGTTCATGTTCATAGCCTTTTAGGATTTAAGAAATAATGACATATTTTGGTGCAAGGGGTCAAAGCTCTCCACAACCACTGCATCATGAGTTAATTTCCCAGACAGGGAGGTGACCCACACGGTGTGGCCAACCTCTCCTGTCCAGCCTGCTGCTCCCCTCAGCAGTACATTTCAGTCAATCCACCTATTCTGCTCCCTACTCTGTCTCTGGTGAATCCTCTCACCCACTCCCATACCTCTGGCATGTACCCCAGTTCTTGTACACATAAATAAATAAATCTTTAAAAAAAAAAAAGAATGACATATACAACATTATTATCTTATGAATTTGCCAAGGATGAATCAGTTTACATGAATACAATCAAAACTGAGTGATGGAAGAGTATACCCTGTAAAGCTGCCTAAGCCTTCAAAATGAATGTGAACCATCTGACCTCCCTTATTTATTCACATTCACTTTTCTTACTATTATATATATATATATATATATATAAGTATATATATAAAATACTAATTTTACACAAGAGTGAAAGTATTATTCTAAAAAAGAAGAATTTGGTGAGCTGTAAGCAAAATTAAACAACTAGTAAAAATCATAGTCACAATTCCCATAGACATGTAATATCTAATAGATATAAATCAAAAGAATGGAAAAAAGAGGCAAGAAGAAAGTTCCCTGATCTACTCATCTTATTCCATATTTTCCAGTCTCAGCAACCTATTCTGTGTTCCTTCTTCACAACTATTGTCCTCGCAAATTTCTCCTGTTATCAACAGATTTCCCCCACACTCTCTCCTACCCTCATTCAACTCTACCTGGCTAACTCAGTCTCCCTACCAATTTAAACCACATATCCAATCCTATCTCCTCTTCTGCTTTAGTCAGCAACCCTTAAAACTAGAAAAGGACAGAACTCAGAATATTACAGGACACAGCAGTTCTGTGTATGTTCATAGTGTGGTATAATCAGGAAAGAGAAGAATATTACCAACCATCTAGGCAGGTTGTATAACACCACTATAAAACTGGAAATAAAAAAAAAACCACAAAGACAACTGTGAAAAAATGAGAGAAAGGCCCTATATCCTTTAATAAAAATTCCTCAAAGAATTAACAATCTCAAATACCAAATTCAAAACCTTGGTAAGTTGTTACAGTTAACAATGAAAATGAATACATTAAGTACAAACACTTGTATTGAAGCATTAAAGTGAACAAATACTAGGTGTTGAAAGATTGACATCAGAAATAAATTCCAAGCTGTTTTACTTCATAATAATTTTGAATAAAATAAACAAGAATCTATAACTTGTCACTAATCAAGATTTTTGTCTCATTTTAACATTTTCTAGTTTGATAAAGGTTTTTGAGTATATTTCAACTCTAAAAGGACAAAGGTAGAATAACTGTTTCAATTATCTCAATCTATCAAAAATTTTGTCTCATACTGCATGTACATACACACATACCTTGTACTGATCAAGTCTCCATTCTGTATTGAAAGAGGACTAACAAATTGTAAACCACATGGTTCATTCCTTTTGCTTCACCTTTATTCTTTTTCCCTAACAGCTTTTCAGTAAGCTAATAGACATCATTAAATAGTCTTCAGATTTTATATTTATATCCACAAAATAGAGAACTTTCCTAAAGAATTATGTAATTTTCCTTTCCTTATATATTAATTAAGCTTCAATAGTGCTAATCACGTTGTATAAAATTTGATGAACAATTTAAATTTTAAAAAAATTATTTTTAGTAAATAAAAGTAGGGATGAAAAAGTAGTTCTGTAAAAATCTGAAGTACAGGTTTCTCCTGCTATCCAAAGTAGAATGTACTCGTTTGTTGTCATTCATTGCTGATTTTTTTAGGTCTGGAATGCTACTGTCATTAATTTATCAATATATGGAAAAAATTCTGAATGTTTGCAGTCCAAAAGTAACCCACTGAGTAGAAATGTTTTAATTTCATATAGAAGGGAAACCTTGAAACTATTTTTATTTACCTTTCTTCTTCCTCTACTACATCCTCCTCTTCTTTACATCTTCTACTCTTATAGTTCAATTATAGGGTGGAAATCAGAAAAAAACTCAGAGAATGAATACTGAACTTGAATATCTCCATAGAATTACTGTCATTACTGCTTAAGAGTTGCCTCAACTCACCCACGTTTGATGCTGTATAATTCTTTGTCCTTGCCTTTATCCTTCTCTTTCTCTCTTTTCTCTTTATCTCGACCTTTACGACGTTCTCTATCCCGAGACCGACTGCGAGTTCTTCTATGACTGGATCTTTCACTGCTTCGACTATGGGAACGTGGACGAGGTCTTGACCTGGATCTACAAGAGATAGACTTTATTAAATACATTTGGGATATATTTTGTATTATGAAATGAAAATGACCATAAAAATTAACTGAAAGAATAGTTTTAGTAATGGATTTAGAAATTATCAATAAAAAACTGAGTGAAGCAAGCATCTAAATAGGATTCTTCGTGAATAAGTACTTTAAGTTAATGTGAGACATAAAGGAAATGTATGTTGTTGACTTTATAGGAAACTAAGGTTTATTCAAAAAGTGTTTACAGGTGCAGGTGAGTTCATAAAGGTTTGATTCAAGTCTTGATTGTTCAATCTCCTAAAACAAAGTAAATTTAAATGTATCTAATTAAATTCCACAGATGAGGCTTTCCTATCCCTACAATCTCTACTTTCAGATCTATTCTACGTTATTTCTTATTTTAATTGTTACAGTAACAACATTCCTCTACCCTAACTTTTCTTTGTATTAAAAAAAGACAGTATTAGGTAGGACATACTATGTGATTTTTAAAAGCAGGATTTCAGATTCTGCTTTACAAGAAAGCCTTTACAAAATTGACAGTCATATAAATAATTATAATTATTAAAAGAACCAGCAATCTTAAGTCACTGGGCAGTGACCAAAACAGGCAAATTCTGCAGCGGTAAACACTTGGAAAAAGAACACTTAACCTTTACTGTTCCTTGTCTGAGGCAAGTCCAAGTCTATGCAATGTGAGACCATTAAAATTTAAAAAAAAAAAAAAAAGCAGGAATTCTGGTTTGAAAAATCAGAAGATAGACTTTAGGCAATTATAGCTGAGAGAAATATAAGGGGGGTCCTGGAAAAGAATCAGAAGAGGGAGCCAAGAATTCTATTCTTAAAACTCCATGCAAGCCTTTTATTTATCCTACTTCATACATATGAAGAGCAGACTTCCAAATAGCTAAGGATAAATGAATTGAACCAAAATTTCAGCTGACTCCAAAGAGTCAAGAGTTTTGCAATTCTAATTCAATTCAATTAATTTCCTGCTAAAACCAAAACAAAACAAAAAAACAAAAAGATATATTCTTCAGAGAAACATAACAGAATTCAAAGTATGCAAAACATGTTCTTCATCATGCCAAGGGTAAAATACAAAATTACTAGTACAATGAAACATGAAAAATGTGATCCACTCTCAAGAGAAAAGACAATCCATAGAAAGCAATCCTGAGAAAAGCCAGATGTTGGAATTAACAGGCAAGGATTTTAAAGTCTTAGTAAGTATAACTATGCTTGTGATTAATATAAAGTTAAGAACTTTCAGTAAAAAGACTGGAAAATGGCCCTCCCTGGTGGCGCAGCGGGTTAAAGCACAGCACTGAGAATCTAAAGCTGCTTCCGCATGAGTTCGACTCCCGCCTGCCCCGGAAGTGACCACATGGCGTGGCAGACCTCTCCTGACCCGCCCGCTGCTCCCCTCAGCAGTGTACTTCGTCAATCTGCCTGTTCTGCTCCCCACTCTGTCCCTGGTGAAGCCTCTCACCGCCCCTGAGCCTCTGGCCTGTACCCCAGTTCTGTATGCACAAATAAATAAATCTTTAAAAAAAAAAAGACTGGAAAGTGAAAAATTTTTAATTCTACAACTGAAACTATAATATATGAAACTAAAAATTATTCTCAGTAAGATTGTCAGATTATCAGATTGGTAATAACAGGCAAGGAATCTATACATGGAAATAAATCAACATTATCCAAATTGAAGATCTAGTTAGAAAAAAGCTAATAAGCTAATAATAATAATAAAAATAATAATAATAAAAATAATAATTTTAAAAAGCTAATAAGAAAATTGAAGCAAGTATCTGGGATCTGTGTGACAATTTTCAAATGTCTAAAACTTTTTTTTCTAATCTAGGAGAAAAGAAAATAATGTTTTAAAATGGTATTCACAGTCAGACATATTGGGATCCTATAGTTTGAAAATCCAAACAACAGTGTAAACCAATGTTACCTCAATAAAAATATGATAAAATTAAAGTAAAATAAAATGGATAAAATTTTCCCAATTTAGTAAAAAAAGAAATTTATAGATGATAGTTTAACAAACCACAAGATAAATATGAATAAGACTAAGCCTAAGGACACCATAGTCAAATAAATGAAAACTAAAATTAAAACCTTAAAAAGTATTCAGAAAAAAAAATGACATATTACATATATAGGACCTACACTGCTATGAATCACTACTGATTTCTCATCCAGAACAATGGAGATCAGAAGACAGTGGAACAAAACTCAACATGGTGAAAAGGAAAAAAAATCAACCAGTAGTTTTACATTCAGCAATGATAACCCTCAAACATGAAAGTAAAATTAAGGTACTTTTGAGAAAAAGGAAAGTATAACATAAACACAAATAGTAGATCTGCATTACAATAAATACTAAAGTAAGTTCTTCAAACTAAAAAAGAATCATGGGCCCTCCCTGGTGGCACAGCGGGTTAAAGCACAGTACTAAGAAGCTAAAGTCACTTCCACATGAGTTCGATCCCTGCCTGCCCCGGAGGAGATCCACATGGCGAGGCAGACCTCTCCTGACCCGCCCACTGCTCCCCTCAGCAGTGTACTTCATTGATCTGCCCGTTCTGCTCCCCACT